CTGTGAACACCTGTTAACTTTCATTTTTTGGTAGCTGTAACCCTTTCAGAATACAAAGTCTTTTTTTGTTAGGAAGGCTTAGTTCCTCTGACATTTTGAACTTTTCAGTTTCATTCTCTGTTAACTCACAGTTTACTAAGGGTGATTACTTTCTGTTGCACAGATTTTTAGAAAGCAAGTTGTTCTCTTTGCTTTCTCTTTAGATACACCTTCTACATTAAACATATCTTGTGTAACCTGATATAAACTTTTTAAAGGTTTAGATTTTTCTATTGCCTGCTCTCTGTGATAGGCAGGAACAGCTTTTTTATCTATATTGGATCTAATAAAATTAGTAAATTTCTCAATTACATTTGAATATACTCCAGTATTTACCTGAACATTATTCAAGCCTTTGCCTGAAAAGTTAACTTTTTTGGCTATATCAGGTTTTAAAACGATTGTGACTTTATCTGCATCGATTTGTGATTGTATCTTTTGAATATAGTTCTAAATAGATATTTTTTTTACTTGAATCTTTTTGATTACTTGCCTTAGTTTTAAGGAATGAATTTATTAACTGGTCTTTTTCTTTTTCTGGTGAGGTTTTATTTAAAAAAATTTCTGCTGATTTTGTTTGCTTGCAATGATAGGACAGTCCTTTTCCAATTTCTGTTTTGCAATACAAACAAATGATTATTGAACTTGAACCTTCATTACCTATAAATTTTGAATAGAAATATCACTCTCTTCGTTTATTATTATATGTGTATATAAATTATGTCAAAGCTTATAATATTTACCTAAACAAGATTTTAAAGAAACCTTCCTTATTCCGGTAGCAGCAAGTAAACCACTGTCTTCAGTAATGTTAGAAGTCAATCTTCTTTTATAACCTCTTTTTATAACGAGGGGTTGATGACCAATATATCTTGCTGTGATGCATATATAGCAATTGCATTACCTATCTCCTCTAGTTCTAATTTCTTTTATAAATAATATGTCTTCATAGTTTGGCATTTTAGGCAATTTTCTATTTTCAATATCTTTGTCTTGCTCATTCAGTGTTATTCTGCAGGTACCACATATACTAAAAGGATATTTGCTGTTTGCTATGTCAAAATCTAAATTTATATACATTTTAATTTGTTCAGCTATCTTTTTTGTGATTGCAAACTGCTGAGACTTTTTTCTGAAATTATTTTTTTCCCACATGGTGCACACACTTTTGTTCTAGATTCATCACGATTTGCTGATTTGTTGGGCATATCTTAAGTATAATACTCAATACTTATTTATAAAGACTTTTTGTTTATAATTTTGCAAAAAATAAAAGAGATACCAAAAATAAAGACTTTTGTATGCATAAATAATATCATAGTTATTACTTCTCACATTTGTTGTTATCTCTGTTTATAATTACTTGATAAAAGCTCAAAGTTTTATTAATTTAGTTTAAAAGAGTTCTTTGCTAATAGTAATACAAAATTATTTTAATAAAAAAACGAAAATATACACAAATGATCTAGTTTAAGTTTTATTTTTTTTTTCGGTTTCCTATGAAGTATTCGGAACTGTTCGGCATAATCATCAGGTATATTTTTTCGAGCAAAGCTAGACTGCATGGAGGTTATCATGGAGGTTAGACATCTTTTATATTTATCAAGAATTGTAACAAGTTTGGCAATGATTGTGCGGGTCTCTATAACTGGAATACGTGCCTTTGTCCACAAGAACAGCACTTCGTCAACGACTTGCTTGCGATTCTCCTAACTGTTGCTTTCAATAAAGAAGATACACTTTAAAACATTCTGTTGGAAGGAATTGCTCACCAAAATTTGCAAATGGTTGCCCAATCAAATATATTTCTGTTGCTTTTCGTGTTGGTATATTTATTGCAGTTGTAACCATTTTTTATTCTAAATTATTTGACCTGCAATAAATTGTGCAAACAAACTCTATTAAAATGAATGAAGAAGTGTTAATGCAAAAAGTAAATTCCGTAATTAGTAATAATAATATTACCAAGTAAGGGTGTTTAAAATTAAATACAACTCAATTCTTTTGGTTACCAACTCATACATTTGTTTAATACTTATTTTGTAACATACTAGCTTCAACCCATGTTCAGTATATTGTCTCTATGTTTTAGTATTCTCTTATTTAACAATAAAAAAAAAAAATTGTTTTTTTACAACTGTTAAACTTAAACTAATTTATTCTCATTCTCGGAACTGTTCGGTTCCTATGAAGTAACCGAACGTTAAGGTTTTTAGTAAAAAATAGTTGGTTTGAAAGTTATTTAAAAATCTTGGACAAGCAGCTAAGATTTTAATTTCAACAGATTTGTAATGTAAATAAAAAAGTTTTTAAAGGATCTGGAAACAGTTTTTGTTGACATTTTTATCGATCTTGAATTTGTTGAGGGCCACTGTCTGATTGTTAAAAAAAATTCCAGAAAATTTGGACATAATTTACTCTTTATTGACTTTGCCCACTACAAAACCACCAAAATTTGTACATAGCTATTGTTATTACTTAAGTAAAATATTTGCTAATTTAAAAAAAAAATACTTAATACAAAATAGCCAATTTAAGCTCAATAATGGAATAAGAGTTCGTGTATTCTTGCAAAGAATTGCAATAGGAGCCAATAATAATAGCCAATAAATAATGGCAATAATAAAGCCAATAATATGAGCCAATAATAATGGCAATCCTTTTACTGAGTCCTCCTCTTTACGTCTTCTTGGATTATCGCTTACTAAGATGACCTTTCATGGAAACCATATATACAATCGATTGCTAAATTAGCTTCTGCTAAGGTTGCTTCTCTTTATCGTGCTCGCCATTTCCTTACTTCTGATTCCATTCTCTACCTCTACAAATCTCTTATTCGTCCCTGTATGGAATACTGTTGTCATATTTGGGCTGGTTCTTCTAACGATTCACTTTCTCTTCTTGACAAGGTCCAAAAACGCATTGTAAATGTTGTTGGACCTGGACTATCTGCTAAGCTTGAACCTCTTTCCCATCGTCGTAAAGTTGCATCTCTTTCTCTTTTCTACAGATACTATCATGGTCACTGCTCAAAGAAGTTATCATCTCTAGTTCCATCAACTAAAATTCATTCTCGTTTTACTCGTCATTCAGCTAAGTCTCATTCGTTTACTGTATCTGTCCCTGCATGCTCTAAAAACTTTTATTCATCTAGTTTTTTTCCCCGCACTTCAATCCTTTGGAACTCTCTCCCATCTTCATGTTTTCCTGACTCATACAACCTTCAACTTTTCAAGTCTTCTGTCAACCGTTTCCTTGCTCTATAACTCTGTTCTTTTTTTTTTCCTAGTAACTCCCAACTTAATAGTGGTTGCTTGCAGCCTTGTTGGGAGTGAATGCAAATAAAAAAAAAATAAAAAAAATAAAAGTTTTTTTTTCAAAGCGAGAGAATAAATACTAGAAATCACGCATATTAAATCAACTAGTTAAAAATTATGCATATTAAACAGTTTGGTTGCAATTACTTTTAAGATATCAAAATTTAAATATCTACTTTGATCAGTGTCCTCCTTTAAAATTTAATTTTAAAGGATGACACTGATCAAGGTAGGACCTAAAAAAGCAGGACTGCTGTCCCTAAAAGACGTCAATTGGACGACCTTAATAATATAAATTGTAAAAGTCACATTTATAAAAATCTTTATTTATTTATAGATTTTAGGGTAAAAGTTGATAAACTTACTGTCAGGGTTAGGGTCAGGGTTCTCTGGTCCTCCTCTTCTTTAGATGAGAGTTTTTTCCTCTGGTCCTCCTCTTCTTTAGATAAGAGTTTTTTCCTCTGGTCCTCCTCTTCTTTAGATGAGAGTTTTTTCCTCTGGTCCTCCTCTTCTTTAGATGAGAGTTTTTTCCTCTGGTCCTCCTCTTCTTTAGATGAGAGTTTTTTCCTCTGGTCCTCCTCTTCTTTAGATGCGAGTTTTTTCCTCTGGTCCTCCTCTTCTTTAGATGAGAGTTTTTTTCTCTGGTCCTCCTCTTCTTTAGATGAGAGTTTTTTCCTCTGGTCCTCCTCTTCTTTAGATGAGAGTTTTTTCCTCTGGTCCTCCTCTTCTTTAGATGTGAGTTTTTTCCTCTGGTCCTCCTCTTCTTTAGATGAGAGTTTTTTTCTCTGGTCCTCCTCTTCTTTAGATGTGAGTTTTTTCCTCTGGTCCTCCTCTTCTTTAGATGAGAGTTTTTTCCTCTGGTCCTCCTCTTCTTTAGATGTGAGTTTTTTCCTCTGGTCCTCCTCTTCTTTAGATGTGAGTGGTCTCCTCTGGTCCTCCTCTTTTTTAGATGTGAGTTTTTTCCTCTGGTCCTCCTCTTCTTTCGATGTGAGTTTTTTCCTCTGGTCCTCCTCTTCTTTAGATGTGAGTGGTCTCCTCTGGTTCTCCTCCTTCAGAGGTTTTTGATGCTCTTTCTATTGATTGAGAATTGCAGTAGTATGAGAAAGCTTTATACCAGTTTGATTAGTTTTTGTAACTCAACTCAGCAGTAAGAGTTACCCTGACAATTTTTCATCTTGTTTCTTGACCAACTGTATTGTTGGTCAAGAAACAAGATTGGAGAATTCTGGGTGCATCTGTGTAATGCCCTTATAAAGACAATTTTTATAATTAGACAGTAAATCTAAATTATGTACTTTGTGATGCACTTCAAATCATGATTTGAATGGAGCCACCATGCACTACCACCATGCAACACCAGGTTTCTTGTATACTTCTTTTTAATTTAAAGTGACAGTTGATAAATTATGAACAGTAACAGTAACAATACTAAAAATAATAAGACTGGTTTTATATTTCTTTTATAATAGAAATATAAACTAGTAGATTGCACTGACAAAATGACAGATCAATGAACTATTTTGTTTTCGTTAGTAGGTTCTGTTTATTGTAAAAAAATTGTTTTACATCATATTAACATACAAAAGTTTGATATAAATCACCATGAAAGGTAAAAACATATTTTAAGCTTTCTGTTTTCTTTAGATTACAATGGTAACAGACAATTTGTCAGAGATCACAACCCTTGAAAACAGTAATAATTTACAATTTTTTTTTTTGGGTTTAAAGTTTTTATTGTCAAAAAAATATTCTCAAAGCAACTTTTTAAATAATAGTTTACAATAGTATTGTTTTTTTTTAATAGGTTTAATGGTAAAGTATGGATTGAAACCCATTCATCCTGAGTGGCTGGTTCAGTCAGTAATTAACTTTCGGTAAAATTTGATAAAGAAAGCTATTTGAAAATTAACAAATTTTTCATCATCATTTTGTTTTAATGTCTAGTTTCCTCCAGTGATCTTACTTTTTTCCTAATGCTTACCTCCGATGACTTTCTTGTTTTTCCTCGTGTTTACCTCCGATGATTTTCAATTACCTCTAATGATTTTCTTGTTTATTTCATGTTTACTTTCAATGATTATTAATTATCTTCAATTAATTTCTTGTTTTCCTCATATTTTAATTTTTTTTTTATTTTTTATCTTTTATTATAAAATATAAGTATAATTTTTTCAGAATAGCAAATGAAAACGATTGGATTGTACAAGATTAGAGTGAAAATAATTGGATAGTAAAAAATAAAAAAAACAGATGAAATCAGTTGGGTAGTAGAAATCTGATGACAATTGATTGAAGAATATTGTATTATTCCATATTGAAAAAGACTTATTTTTACTTTTGTGCCTTCAATTGTTTGAAAGTTAAAAAACAGTGTTTGTTGTTTTTAGTTTTTTATTTCCATGAAGCCTAATGTAAATAGGTATCTGTAACTATGGTAACTATATAAATAGGTATCTGTTGTTGACTAACTATTTACATTAAGTTTATTGATTAGTTATTATTAACTGTAAGATTAAAGTTTAGTTATTTATAAAACTTTGTAAAACAAAAATGGTAATCTAGTTTTTCCCTTCACTAACCTTTTGCTCATTTTATAAATTATAGGTTGTTTGTTTTTTTTGTTCTATTTTGCATTGTTTTATTTTTCATTTTAAAATTTCTTTAGGGCTATTAAAATGCTTCAAGTTAAAAAAAATCCAACGACCGTTAATAACCACGGTCAATAAAATTTTTATCAATAAGTTTTTCTGTTGTTTTTAAAAAATGTTTTATTTTGTATATTATATATTTACTTTATACATTATATATCGACTTATATAATTACATTGTTATGTTTCCCAGTTGAAAACAAATTAATGGAAACTTCTGGAAATGTAATTGCAGCGAGTCAAAGGCCAGATGGTACTTGGCGCAAAGAACGTAAAGTAAAAGTTGGCTTTGTTCCACAAGATGAAATTCAAAAGTATGAAAGTCGCACAAAAAAATTTTTTTCTGAAAAGCCTGAATATCCTCCAGGATATAATGCTGTATCTGAGAAACCTTTATCAAAGAATCAGAAAAAAAATGAGCGTAAAAAACAAAAGCGAGAAGTACAACATAGCGCAAAAGATTCCCTAACACCACCAATCATAGCAGAAATAACCAAAACAGTGAATGAACTAAGTTTAGAAAAAAAACCTAATGACTCTAAAGTAATTGAAACAGTTGATCGAACAAAAAAAATAAAAGCTCTTAATAAGAAGATTAAACAAATTGAACAATTGGAAGAGAAACTTAAAAAAGGCGAAGTGTTGGAAGA